GAATAGATTTGAATTGAAATAACGTAATGTGTGGTTTGCATCGGACGTACTAAACAGTTAATCGGAGTCTACCACACGTCCGCTTTCAAACTCTATTTTAGATATTCATTTATCTGACTCCGTTCTGGAAATTAAGGAAGGACGAACAGATGGACGACAGAGGGAATTTATAAGTCTACATTTTTTAAAATTGCATTCCAATAAGTATAAAATATGAAAAAGTAATTTTTAATTAAATATCATAACAGATCTCCACACAGGCAATTTTAAACTTTGCCAAGAAAATTAAGTTAGTCGTTGCTGGATTTTTAACAGAGGTCTCATTCAAGGCACAACTTACGTGATTTATGTGTTCTTCGTCAATCTCTTTACTTTGTTTTTTATGTTTTAAATTGACATCTATTGTTTATATTTATTTTCACCATATATATTCAATTATTGATTAGTGTCATTCTATGAAGATAAAGACATTTGAGAATTCTTCTTACTTCTTCTTACTCTTTGTAGTTGGTTAGGCTATAAATTTTAAAGAATTATAGTCCTATAAACTGCCACTGATATCTGTCTTTTTGTCTGTCCGTCTGTTTTTTCTTAACCTAGATAACGGAGTTAGAAAAATGAAAATTGACATCACGTACAGAAAATTAGGGGGAATTTTCCCGATTAAGTGTATACGAACTTCCATTTCAAACTCATGTCATGTCTTTTGAATTGAAAAATTTTTTCCTCAACGGTGTTACTGACCCACACAAATGTTCAACCAGGAAAAGTATGATGTACAGGGTCAAGACTCTACTAAAATTAAAAGCATTGTGATGAAAAATTGCAGCCCGTCATTCTGAAGAAGTCATAAGTAATAATTATTCGTTCGAAATCGAAGGGACAAAATAATTCGTGAACATTAAAGTATTCAAATTTTCTCTTTGTGTAAACTTATTTGTAAATACCCTGTTCTTCATTCTCTCTGAATTAAAAATTATCATGGAATTTCTAAATTATTTCTAAACTGCTAAATAATTTGTCGTGAAAAAATGTCTTGTTCCTAAGTAATAGCAATTGAAAAGTTTAAATTTCCAAAATACTTAAATATTGTTTGTTTCGTCCGTCTAATTGCTGTTGTCCGCATTTGTATTTCAGTACGTCTACCACAGAATTATTGACAGAAATAACAGGAAATGAAGAAATATTTTAAATTTTATCTTCGGATTATTTGCATTTTTTCTTTCCGAGTTATATCCTCGAAAAGACATAAAATTTGTTCTCGTGACAAAGTCTATTATAGGGAAACTCAAAGGCTAATAATCACTACCTTCCTTTATTTGTGAATAAAAATTTAATTTTGAATTAAATTAAATTTAATATATCTATAAATTTAATTTTTAAAAACGGGATTATATTTGCTGATAATGTGTTCAAGAGGAATAATTGAAATTTTAATAAATATGTCCACGAATGTTCTTTTTTAAATATTGATAAGCTTAGAAATGATTATTAAATTATTAAAACGAATAAATTTATAAAGGAAAAAGTTTTCTATGTTCCATTGTTGAGAAATTATATAGAAACAATGGCATGTTGGGATTTTAATAACATAACCTGGAGAATTTTAAGAAAAGCTAATTATTAATTACGATTTAGTGAATGTTGTAATTGTTAAGAATTACCGTAAAAATATTACAAAAAAAATTATAAATTACGTATTTATTTCTTTAAATGAGAGTATAAACAAGAAATTAAATAAACGAAAATAAGAGAAAATAGAAACAGTGGCTAAGGATGTTTAAATATTTCTTGACAATTTACGGATTTCCGGTGCCATCGTTTTTTCAATTTTTTATGACGAAAAAGAAATGACGATTTTTGTATTTCTATAAATCTACAGTAGGTACAGATTGATGCAAAAATGGGATTTATGAAAATTTATAGATGAAAATTTAGCTTGAGTGAAATCTGACAAAACTGTAAACCAGTTTCTCATTAAAATTAAAAGTTGTCGATCATATAAGGGAGATATACTACTCTTATAATTGTTAACCTTGCGTCCTATTTTCTATTCAAAAGAAATGCTTTTCCCACGTAAATACTACACACCGAGTTGCATGATAAACAGTATTAATCGTTTTTAAATGTTTGGTAGGCTATATTAACAAAACTTATTTTTAATTTTTTACATAAGTGAACAATCCAATAATTTTCAAAATAAACGTGATGTAGTGAAGTGTACTATAAATAGTATGCACTAATAACAAACTTACTATATATTAATTCGTTTAGTACAAAAGAATTGGTAAATTAACACACAATTTTTGTGAAGACGTATTGCTGTTACTTTTTCATAATTTAATATCATAAATGTAATATTCATAATAAATGTATGTTTATGTCATTACGTGTATAAATTTTGTCAGGCTTTGCTTAAAAATAGTTTATTCTGTTTGGCTTTTTCAAAAAGTTCATTTATCAATCAGTATTTTTTCAACAAATAAATATATAAGCCGCACGCATACCGTTTTGTGCTTCGAAATAAGTTCCCTAAAGGATATAGAACAGAAAGGCGCTCAAAACTGTAGACGAAGAAAAATTGCGGAAAAAATTATAAAATATCGATGAATTTATATAATAAAACACGACATAAATATAGCGAAAAAGCACAGAAAACACACTAGTGTAACGCGAGAGATCATCTCGGCAAACAGATTTCGAGTGCAATTCTTCACTGCGCGCGTAGTTCCAAGTTTGATGCGTTCTAAGTTAGAGTCTCTTGAAGCGGAAGAGGACACTGTATTTAAAATTTAGTTTGAGTTTTGTTTGAGTTCGAATTCAGTTTGCTTTGTGTATTTAAGAAAGGAAGAGTGTTGAAATACACTCCTCAAAGTGAAATCGCAACACCACGAAGGAATGCACATAATGAGATAATGAATATGATACAGAATTGAGAAAATGGTCTTCAATACGCAAGTTTTATCAGTCTGATCGATCGTTATATCCAGTCATCAAAATGAATAAAACATTGTGTGTTCAGTGAGACACAGTGAGACATTCTTTACATTCATCTAGTAAATAAGCATAGTGGAATAACAGTAAAATTACTCACAGCAAAAACCGGAGTTGAATGCAAACCACTTTCTATCCCAGGTCTGGAAATATATGAGACAGTATTATAAGTATAGCTCATTAAGAGATTCTTGAAAAATAAACGTGTTATTGTTAAAATATACAAGGAATTCTTAGGCATTTTCAGTTTGAATAAATTTGACATGTTGTAATTGTTAAGTGAAAATTGATGATGCGCTCGATATATAAAACTGAAACTATGTTATTCATCGCAGTGATGTTAATGTAGCCTACAATAAATTAAAACTTTCAAATAGACATAATAGATTCAAATAGATTTTACAATTAATTAAGAAATACGAGGGTTTATTGTTATTTTGAAAAGTACTTCAAAAAATTATCATATAGTATTGGAACGACATATGCAGATCTAAAAATATCCAGCACCGAGTTGCTTAAGTTTTCCAGCAACATTTAGTAGTGCCATCTGTTATCATATTTTATTATTATCGTTTAATATTTTTAACTGTTGTTAATTAAATAGCATAAATCTTAATTTTGAGAGTTTTATTTTAAAAAAATTGTAAATGCTAATAACGAGTAAAATCGTGATTAAGTCCCATCTACTCGAGATACGACACACGACCTCTTTATCTCCCCACTCATCGAATTTAATCACGAAAATTTAACAGCATCAATCCCCTAATAAACAAACCTCCGTAAAAAATTTCAAAACATTTCGACAAAAAGCACAAAAGCTATTAAGTTTCAAAGAGGGTGAACGAAATCGCGTTCCAGACACACACTAACATCCATACATGCAGAAAACACCCCTGAATTTTTTGCATTTCTCAACGTTTTAAGGTTCTTAGAATCTAAAAATTAAACATCTTTTTTGTCTAATTGCCGTACTTCCCCTCTGTTATATTGTATATAACAGTTCCGGAAGTAAGATGAGGACGACACAGTAGATTATCAGTGATCATTCGCTAGTCTCTGCTCCCATTATGGGCTAAAATCAATTCTTTGTTGAATTCATTATATTTATTGGTTTAATACCAATGAAATTTTGAAATCCACATTAGGAATGGGGCATACTCTTAAAATGCAGTGAAAGTGTAAAACTTTTCTCTATGAATGGCTGCTTCGTGCAACGCGTGCGATGCTGATTTTGTTGAAATCAGCGTTGCACGCAGAACTTGTTGAACGGCTTTTGTTCAAAGCAAGCTATAGTGTATAAAACTTAATCCACAACTTCGATGGCTCATGCTTTACGTGTGACATAAGCCAATGTTGTCAATATGCAGACGTAGACATTGAGGAGTAAACTACTTTTGATTTTACCCATTCCATAAGCTGTCAAAGTAATGCCAATGTAACAATCTGAACTAAATTACCTCAATTATAGTAGTATCGTATCTATAATATCGTGGGTTTCATATTACATAAAACTTGTATAAAAGGGGCCTTCTATACCTATAATAGCCACGATATAATTATGTGTAGAAGGCTTTAGAAAACGTTGATATCTGTATATAACAAATTTCTGAGTTATTTTATATATATACTAATAAAAAGAAACTTATATATATTTTTTTTGATTGAGGGGAATATCTCCTCTGACCCAACTTGATAATGCATTTCATCCTAAGAATACATCATTTTCACTTTTAGGGAACGTGCTGCCATCTTGAGAGATAAATTTTTAAAACAAAATTTATTATAATTTTATTGAAAAAAAAGGTCAATAATTAAGTCCAAATTGAAAAAATTAAAAACGCATTTTGTAATTTATTAATAGTTATCAAATATTAAACGTTTTAAAAGATATAAGCTTATATTTCATTCGATTAATTTTATGCAGTTTTTATCTCTTAATTTGTTTTATTTACTTAACTAAACATTATTTTNTGCAAAAAAATCTCGCGGTTTTCCTTGTAAATTACTGTGAACTGTTTCTAAATGACGTTTCAATTTATTAGGAAGCATACTTTCAGCTGCCAGCACCTTATGACAAACAACACATTGGGGTAGTTCCACATTTCCTTTGCTAACGTAAGTAAATCCAAAATCTAAATATTGGTCATCATATTTTCTGTATTTTTTTCGTTTTTCTACAGTTTCCTTTGTACTCTTTCCTGAGTCTTCAACACGTTTTCTATTTATTTGAATAAAGTTATCCATTTTACAATGCGCAATTTAAATAGAACACACTTGAAATCAAAACACTGATTCTTCAATGCTTGTAATCGACGAAAACAAAAGACTAAACGAAAGAGCGGGAAATTGGAGAAGCGGGGTGATGAGACGCATGCGCAGCGCACTCACTCATTACGTCGTGTGCAGGCGACCGGTGGGTATCGTCTCGCGACTCCCCTATGAAAGCGCCGCGACTCCCCAGGGCGTCGCGACGCACAGTTTGGGAAGCCCTGGGCTACTGTATTAAATAATGCACTTTCAATTCGAATAAATTTGACATGCTGTAATTGTTAAATGAAAATTGATGATTCGCTCGAGATATATAAAACTGAAACTATGTTATTCATCGTAGTGATGTTAATGTAGCCTACAATAAATTAAAATTTTCAAATAGAAATACAGGGGTTTATTGTTATTTTGAAAAGTACTTCAAAAAATTATCATATAGTATTGGAACGACATGCAGATCTAAAAATATCCAGCACGGAGTTGCTTAAGTTTTCCAGCAACATTTAGTGGTGCCATCTGTTATCATATTTTATTATTATCGTTTAATATTTTTAACTGTTATTAATTAAATAGCATAAATCTTAATTTTGAGAGTATGGATGAGTTTTATAAAAAAAAATTGTAAATCATAATAACGAGTAAAATCGTGATTAAGTCCCATCTACTCGAGATACGACACACGACCTCTTTATCTCCCCACTCATCGAATTTAATCACAAAAATTTAACAGCATCAATCCCCTAATAAACAAACCTCCGTGCAAAATTTCAAAACATTTCGACAAAAAGCACAAAAGCTATTAAGAGGGTGAACGAAATCGTGTTCCAGACACACACTAACATCCATACATACAGAAAACACCTCTAAATTTTTTTGCATTTCTCAACGTTTCAACGTTCTTTGATTCTAAAAATTAAACCTTTTTTGTCCAATCGCCGTACTTTCCCTCTGTTATATTGTATATAACAGCTCCGGAAGTAGATGAGGGCACTACAGTAGATTATCAGTGATCATTCGCTAGTCTCTGCGCCCATTATGGGCTAAAATCAATTCTTTGTTGAATTCATTATATTTATTGGTTTAATACCAATGAAATTTTGAAATCCACATTAGGAATGGGGCATACTCTTAAAATGCAGTGAAAGTGTAAAACTTTTCTCTATGAATGGCTGCTTCGTGCAACACATGCAATGCTGATTTCGTTGAAATCAGCATTGCACGCAGATCTTGCTGAACGGCTTTTGTTCAAAGCAAGCTATAGTGTATAAAACTTAATCCACAACTTCGGTGGCTCATGCTTTATGTGTGACACAAGCCAATGTTGTCAATATGCAGACGTAGACATTGAGGAGTAAACTACTTTTGATTTTACCCATTCCATAAGCTGTCAAAGTAATGCCAATGTAACAATCTGAACTAAATTACCTCAATTATAGTAGTATCGTATCTATAATATCGTGGGTTTCATATTNTAAAATACATATTTTACTTATTCCTGCTATAAAATTTTATTCCTCTTTCATGAAAATTGTTATTGTTATGTTTTGGCATAAAATATTTACATTTCAGTTTTGACAATAAAAACACAATTCAATTGAAACACGTAAAAATGCCTATTTTTATGACGTAACAATGACATTATTAAAAAAGCTATTGTTGAAATATACTATGCAATATGAAATATACGAATATGAAAAATTTACATATTTTTTAAGTTAGATAATTATTGAAATAGATTTATTTACGAATTGAAACGGATGTATTTACTGAATGACACGTGTCTTTCGTGTAAATAAAACGTATTATTTTGAAATGACGTACATTTGTAATTTTTACATTAAAAAAATAAAATAAAATAAAAACTTTTTTCATGAAAAGTTCGGATAGATTATAGGCAATAATAAATAAATAAACACCAAGAAAACTGAACATATCCTCTCTAACCAAGTCTATCAGATAGTAAACCCATTCATACAGAAGAAAAGTAAACCCTTAATGCAGGATTATTTCTAATCTCTTACCAAAAGATATTTAATGCTATTTTCCTTTATAAAACAAAAGTTTTTTATTTTGATATCAAAAACTTCACTACGTTTGCACTCTTTCCAGTACATAAATAAACTGTATAAATACTGTGTTTAAGCAAGTAAATTATTATTTTCTTCTAAATAATTCTTTATTTTTAGTAATAAATAAGAAAAAAATACGTTACTAGTCATCAAAATAAGAAAAATTGATAAGAATTTCAGAACAGATCTTTAGGAAAAAAATATAATAAATATGTAAGATTTTTTAGGAATTTTCAGGGTGGCAATCGATGCTCAAAAGGGCCCTTATAGCCTACGTTTATACAATATTTAGGGATTTTTCGAAAATAGCATAAAAATTCCTCGAGCCCAAGGGAAATATATAAACTTTGGAAAAGAAAATTCTAAGGTTTCTGTAGACTTGTATGCTGGAATGGTAGGAAAGATTTTAGGAAATCCCAAAGGTGTACATTAAGATTGCGGAATTTCGAAGGGAGTTTAAAGTTTGGTAACATCTTATTCTCGTTACATTTTACAAGATTTAAGGGAATGAGAATTTTTGTAGATCCCAGAGAGCATGTAAAATGTTTGTAAACATCTTTCTCATGTTGATGTAAAGTATATATATATAATACATCAACATATTGAATGCTCTGTGGATAGATTCGAAGCTGTTGTCACAAGGTGCATAAGGTGTGAAGTAGTATGACACTTTCCAAATGGGAAACTTTTCCAAACAAGATGGAAAAGTTTGGAAAAAATAGAATAAGTAATTAAGTTAAACTCGCTGTCACTCTTCCATAAGCAAAACTGAGTTGGAAAATTGAAACGAACTGTTTAATGCATCATTAACCACCAGCACAAGTGAATCACAGGAATCAAAAGAGGGTGAAAGCCTGATAAATTGAAAATCGGGCGCCATATGGGACACGATTTAAATAATGAAAGTGAAGTAGGATAATTAATACTCTGGACATTTTATGACAGGTAAGGGTGAAATTAACAGTTTACATTTTCTAAAAAGATTGGGGGGAAGTAATATTGATATCTGGAAGATATCTCTTTACACAATTTAATCCCACAGCGAGTGCGGTGTCTTTAAAAATCGAAAGTGATTCACGCTCAATTAACTCTAACATTTATCATCCTCTTCCAGGCAAAAATAACACTAATTAGCGTTCCAGACAGAAATTAAAATCTCCGATGTTGTTTAGTGTTTGTTGTATCGGTTTACATATTTTTTTCTTTCTTATTTTCTTAAGTAGTCGTATTGCTATAGAGATATCACGAAATATCTACATCTGGGAAAGAGCATCTTGCTCCAAGTTTGCCTGAAACACGCAAGAAGTAAAACTTTTCTTTCTGATATTTACTGTGTTCGGGTTAGAAATGTTATCCATATTTTTTCTAGTGCTGTGTGCGCGTGTGTACACTACATCGCATGTCTTCTCTTCAGGTTTAGTAAATATACCAACAAACATAGTAAATACATTAGTAGATATATATATATATATACTTTAATCATTCATTCTTATTTATTATAAATGATTAAAACCACATTTATACTTAAGTATTTTAGTAAATAACGCGATTTTTGTGCAGGTAATTGTTAAATTTCTAAAAAATATTGTATAATTATTAAGATAGAACAGGTGCTTTTTATGTGGTAAATCCTTCCTTCCAGGTGATAGCAATGATAGCTTAACAAGGAAATATATAATTTCATCCGTTAAGATAGCTTAATATATGCAAATGTTCTATTTTATTACATAACAACCTCATATATACAGTGCGATAAATCTTTTATAAGAATTTCATTCACAAGTATATTTAGAAATCCCCTATTCTTCACTTGGATAGGGATCAATATTGATTTAATTATCTAAAATCTTTAGCAGAAGTGTAGATGCATGACTTTATAATTGTTACTACAGTAGCATGGAGAATGCTGTAGTATTCCTTTGTTAACGATTAAATTAGCCAGCAACGAAATTTACTACTTTTAATTACAAATTTACTTGATATTTATTAAATTTTATACTTAGCTTATATAAAATTAACACGCGAAGTGTATAGAAAAAACAATATAAAATTTTATCCATAAATTATAATTAAGGTGAAAGAAATTTCAATATGCTACTATAACAACAAGCACATGTGTATTATTTTATAAAATATAATCATGCCATACAGAAATGTGTGAAATTTCACATCCTTATGTAGTGTAAAGGAATAATTTTTACTTCGTTTAGAAATAAAATAAATGTCGAAAAAATTTTATATAATTTAAAGTATATAAACACAATTAAAAATTATTAGGCTATTTTATTTATATGCCAGTAGTAAATATTCATCGAACGTAAAGATTCTCTCTTTGTATATTTACAAATGTGACAAACTTAAAAATAATAATATTTAAGAACGGCAAATATCATTAGAAGGAAAGAATTTTTAATGATTATTTTTTAGAGGAAGAAGTAGTGTTTACACGTCATCTAATAATATAAAACTACGAGCAAATCACGTGAGATTTATGGCTACTGCTATAGCAATAAGTTAGCAACAAGCAATTATTATTTTAACTGCTTATTATAATAAATTTTTAATTTACTTTTGCTTTTAAGATTTATTAAGTTAGTAGCATCATTTGGTAAAATCCCCTTCTTTGCCAAGAAAAAGAAGAATATTAAATTAAGTAATAAAATATTTACAGGGGTAGTGAGTCACTTCCAGGCCAATTATAATTCTCCTTTGAGTCCGTCTGCGTCCATTAGGATTTGTGTCAACTGTCTGTGCTTCGGATACATGACGTAAATTCCCTAGAGGAAGAGAAATCCTCTCTACTTTTTCCCTCTTTTCCTCAACTGATTGAAACAGTAAAGTGTTGACAATACAAAAATGGATAGAAGAATATGAAAGTAAAGAATATAATACACCTTTCCGCGCACG